ATGGATAATGGAGGCACTGGTGTTATGGATGTGTCGCCTGGTGGTACGCACACTTGGATACCTGAATGTGACGCAAGCGTGAACCCGTTTGAAGGACAGGAATTCGACACAATGGAAGATGGGATCACGTTCTATACGACGTACGCTGGCATAGTTGGATTTGATGTGCGTCGCAGTTTCGATAAAAGAAACAGATACGGCCAAATTAAGAAAAAACAAGTGGTATGTTCACGGGAAGGGTTTAAAGAGACAAAAAATAAAGAGACTATCGAGGAAGAAACAACAAAACAGAAGCGCCGGAGGACGACGAACAGAGTAGGATGCCCTGCTAGACTTGTATTGACGTTGAATAAAGAGGGGAAGTATGTAGTAAAGACATTTGTAGACAGACACACACACGTCCTGTGCGAGGAGAAATACAAAAGATTCATGAAAGTGAATAGGAAAATAGACATCGGACATCAAGAATTCATAACAAACTGCGGAAAGGTAAACGTTGGGGCTAGCAAGAGTTTTGATATATATGCCGAAATGGTTGGTGGGCCCGAGAATGTTGGAGCTACGCAACAAGACTTCAAGAATTACAGGCGAGAGCTTTTGGCGTACATGAAAGAGAAAGATATACAGATGGTGATATCCCAATACCTAGAGAAGAAAAATGATTGCGTAGATATGTATTTTGAGTACGATGTGAACGAGAAAGACCAATTAGCTCGGGTGTTTTGGGCGGATAGGCGGGCAAGACTGCACTATGGGGCTTTTGGAGATGTGGTGTCATTCGACGCAACATACAAAACTAACAGGTACATATGACTACTAGGCTTTTGTAAACACGTCAATAAAAAATATAAAAAAAAAGTGAATACATGCAAGTTTTGCGGTGATAACATATGGTGCATCTTATTCAGTATTATTTTGGTATGTGTCTGTGCGTAATGGTGCATGTTATGTATGGTGCATGTTATGTAGTAACTGTACACATTTGTATATAACGTGGCAGTGCAAGTGTATTTAGAAATGGAAATATAAAAAATTAATTGTTAGATGAGCATGGAATTTGAGGAGTATGTGCAAGTAACAATGTGTGTGGTGTTGTGACACTTGCATGCTGGTTAATTGATGCTTGTTTGCGGTCGCAGGTACAATCTCGTGTTTGTCCCATTCACAGGTATAGACAACCATAAGAGATGCGTGACATTTGCTGCGGGACTAATTGATAAAGAGGACGTGGAATCGTATAGTTGGATCCTTAGAAACTTCAAGAATGCTATGGGGAGTACACCACCTATCGTAATAAATGATCAAGATCCAGCTATGAAGGTTGCGATTGAAACGGAATTCCTGGGGACTCGTCACCGTTACTGTATGTGGCATATTATGACTAAGGTGGGTGACAAAGTTGGTAATACATTAGCGAAGAACGAGGAGTTTCGGCGTGCATTGAATGCCGTTGTGTGGAACGAGGAATCAACGACCATAGGATTTGAGAGCGCATGGAATGCAGTTATTCAGAAGTATGGCCTACTGGAGAATCGTTGGTTGAAACGTATGTATGATGAGCATGCATCATGGGTGCCTCCGTTTTTTGACGATGTGTTTATGGGGGGCCTATTGCGTACCACTTCACGTTCAGAAGCTGAGAACAGAATTTTTCAAAGTAATACTAATAAGCATTTATGTCTTGTTGAATTCTTCAAACGTTTTGAAAGTGCAGTTCGGAAACAACGCGACAAGCATCTGGAACTTAGCGCAGCTTGCACCGGGCAAACACCACCTCTCAAGACCCTCCTGCGCATAGAGCGAGAAGCAGCAATGGTGTACACATTGACTGTGTTCTCTGATGTACAAAAAGAAATATGTGAGGGTTGGTCTACATGCCGGGTGAGATCGTACACCGAAGCTGAGGGGGTGAAGACATATGTGGTCGAAGACGGGACCAATAAAAGATACACCGTCATAGTTGAGGATGGGAGCAATAATACAAGTTGCACATGTCGATTATACACAAAGATCGGGCTGCTCTGTCGACATGTATTTGTAGTATTAAAAGATGAACGGATCGACCACATACCTCCACAACATATTACTCCAAGATGGACCAAAGAGGCGGTGAAAAATATAGAAAAAGGTACAGGCGTAGGGAGACAAATATGGGCGAACAACAACGGACATAATACCACCGTGGAAGGGAAAGTTATAAACACAATTTACAGATGTTTAGGCATGGCTAGAGGTAATGGTGAAAAAATGCAACACATTACAAATGTGATTGAAGAATTGGAAGCAACACTGTGCGATAAAGAAGTGAATAGGGCAGAAGGGAACACGAAACGGGCAGTTATGGAAGCATATTGTGGAGTTCCAGAGCCAGACACGATTAAAGTGCACCCCCCCGAAGTTGCGAAGACCAAAGGTTCTGGCAAGCGAATGAAATCAGCCAAGGAGGTGGCAATTATTGAGCAATTAAAAAAGAAGCGTACTTGCAAAACATGCGGGTTGGCAGCTGGCCATAATAGCCGAAGCTGCCCACAGAAGTAAAGCCATCGTACTAGAAACAAAAACATTACTAGATACGTAACATACGGATGGTATTTCTGTTAGTTTTCATATATTTGACAGTGCTACATAACATTTAATTTTGAAATGGTATTTTTATTAAAGTTGAAATAGCTGGCTACAATGTGTTGAACCATTTTATTTGTGGTGGTGTTTGAGCATAGAAATTGCTCAAGGGTGTTATTATCTTGCATATAGTAATTCTTAGTATAGCGGACCATACTAGTAGCGATCGGGGATCTATGCATATATGGGAGCAGCTGGGTGAGAAATAATATACTAGATTGGTAAAAATATTAAAAAAAGTTTAAAACAAAATATTAATGAAAACATTGGAAATAAAACAAGTATCATTGGAAATACCGTATTCCGAAAACAAGGACAAACTGCGGATTCCAGTATTCATAACCGCACAAAATGGTATGAGTAGATGCATACCAAACTCACAAAACCGATGGAGGTCTGTGCATGCAATGACAGGTCTGTGCGTACACGATAAATGGTTTGTGCATAAAGAAACGCAACTCTATGCCTGCAAAGACATAGGTCTGTGCATGCAATGACAGGTCTGTGCGAACACGATACATGGCTTGTGCGTAAAATAACATAGGTCTGTGCGTGCAAAAACATAGGTCTGTGCGTGTCAAGACAAAGGTCTGTGCATGCAAGGACGGGTCTGTGCGGGCACGATACAGGGCTTGTGCGTTAGGGTGCGATGGATTGTGCGTAAAAAACAATAGCGGCCTTAAAAAAAAAATAAAGTACTACGGACAGAAAAAGATTATTCGCTGAGAGTAATATGGACTCAAAACATTTTAATGATAGAGTATAAAATCTTAAAACCGTTATATAATGAACCAAACTAAATATCATTCAAAACGAAACAAATAATCCACGCGGGTAACTATCCAAAGAGTCAAATGTCTTCAAAAATCAAAACATGCCGCTACAAAAAGCATGATAGAACACGTCCACAACTTCAACGGAAACGCCCGACAGTGGAGACAACCAAATCTCGATGTACGTTGCTAGGAAACAAAAGAATCTCATGAACATAGCGCATACGTAATATAAGCAGGCAACGGGCATCCCCCCTAATTAATCCACAATCCCATGAAGCCATCGACTGGCCTACATATGTCTCTAAGTGACGCATAGCAAACACCCCACAATCGAACTTATTTTTTGTGTCGCGCCATGACATACGGAGTCTCCTAGGAATCAAGTGCAACGCCTTAACATAGAGGTGTTGAGCCCCAGCATCCTCAAAAAGGACAGATAACAAGTCCTTCTACACCAATTGTAGAAACAGAACCAAAAGTCATTAAAAAAAGGCAGAAAGTAACTATTAAATCCATAACATTAAAATCCACTACGAAATAGAACAACTGGACCATATACATACCAACACCTCAGGGGTCGCCCCATATTTTTTCAAAGATGCCCCATCCACGGATGAGTTATCTATAATACCAAATCTCAAACGGCGTAGATCAAACGACATCACATAGTAATGACCATGCTCGAGAATTGGGAATAGAAACTGTAGAAAGCCATGTGTAAAAATATGAAGAATACCAACACATATGCAGAATTAAATCCCATGAAGGAGTGAACGAAAAATAATTTGTATAGCACCCATGAAGGAGTGAATGAAAAAACTATGTATAGTAGAAAAACTTACCATGTCAATTTCATCCCACGAGTTATACGGAGATACCTGCAAATCAGCCTCTAACCCAGACTTGAACCGACCCAACCGTTGCGACCAAGAGGATGAAATTTGAACAGCCGAATACAACTTCACACACAGACTAAGACACATGAATTCGGAAGCACAAGAAATAATTAAATACAGTGCCAACCTGTGGTAATGGACTTTGAAGTGTCATTAATATATAAACACAACAAACAAATACTCATAATCATAAATTATACAAAAAATGAAACCACCAACGTTAAACAACCCCGAAAGAAAACCCTAAAATTCGAAAAAAAACAAAAAAAACTTACAAAAAAAAAAAACCCCCATCTTGAAATTCTAAACGTCATGCTGAATTCCCCTGAAAAAAAAAAGAAAAAAGAAACAAAAACTCATCATGAATTCTCCACAAAAAAACCCCTTCCTACAGCATTCTGCCGGAAAAAAAAAAAAAAAAAAAAAAAAAAAAAACCCAAAACCCTAATCGAAATCCCACCCCCATGAACACCCCCCACCGCCGCCTGCAACCCCACTTCCGACCCAAGCCCTCTACCCCCGTCAACAAAACACCACCGTCAATGCCCCCACCCCTCACAAATGCCCACCACATTCTTCCCCCCCCCCCCCCCCAACAGCCCCAACAACCTAAGCAAAAAACGGTACATGTAGGGGATTTAAAGCCCCAAAAACGAAATATAAAACCACCCATATAAGTCCACCCAGTTAAACAAAAGTAAAGCGTACCTTGAACAACCCTAATCGAAGATCCATGCCGTCTCAATGAACGCCTAGATGAGGAGCCGTCCATGGATTAGTTGAAGAGCGCAGACGAACGAGAGGAAGTATGTACGCTGCTGCCTGAAGATGGTTGCCGGCGCTGACAAGAAGAAGAAAAACGTGCGGATGGCTATAAAAATAACGCACAAGAGGAACCCGGAGAGACAAAAAATAAAAGAAACGGGTAAGGAAAACAAGACAATAAAGAATCGGCAAATTAATATAAAAAAGCAACACAATAAAGACTCATGGCTAATTACATTAATACCCCCAAAAGTAAAAAATCATCTTATTATAAGCTTAAAATTGCCCCCAATCACAGCCGCACAAAATCACGAACCAACGCACCAGATCGATCCTCACCAGACCTCATTTTAAATAGGTACCTCACCTGATCCAAAATCTATATATATATATATATATATATATATATATATATATATATATATATATATATGTATGTATGTATGTATGTATGTATGTATGTATGTATGTATGTATGTATATATATATATATATATATATATATATATATATATATATATATATATATATATATATATATATATATGTATGTATGTATGTATATGTACATACAAACATATATGTACATACATACATACATACATACATACATACATACATACATACATACATACATATATATATATATATATATATATATATATATATATATATGTATGTATGTATGTATGTATGTATGTATGTATGTATGTATGTATGTACATATATGTTTGTATGTACATATACATACATACATACATATATATATATATATATATATATATATATATATATATATATATATATATATATATATATATATATATATATATATATATATATATATATATATGTACATACAAACATATATGTACATACATACATACATACATACATATATACATATATATATATATATATATATATATATATATATATATATATATATATACATACATAAATAAATATATATATATATATGTACACACACACACACACGTGTGTGTGTGTGTGTACATATATATATATATATATATATATATATATATATATATATATATATATATATATATATATATATATATATATATATATATATATATATATATATATTTATGTATGTATATATGTATATATATATATATATATATATATATATACATATATACATACATAAATATATATATATATATATATATATATATATATATATATATATATATATATATATATATATATATATATATGTATGTTAGTGTTTTTAAATGTTCAAAAATCTCATATTATAATTGGCAATATTATTATGACATACTAAGATAGGTTTAGAGTTTGTCCGTCCAGCTATACAGATGACTGATCAATCAGAAGCAACAACAGAAGGACTGACAGTGAAGATCTGATTTAGGAAGCTGTTTTCTAAAAGACTGTACGCGGTATTATCAGACATGTTTAGAAAGAAGATCAGCGTATATTTTCAAGAAAGGCATGGACCTAATCTTCTGAGATTACATTCCTTATATAGTCCTAACTTCTACAATCAAAGTCATCTATGGAGAGTGTTTATTGAAGAATCTATAAGTACTCTTATTCGAAGAGAATTAGGGTTACGCCAAACAGTAAGAAGAAACACTCCCTATATGCTATATGAGACGAGATCTTTGATTGTCATGCACCTTCTCAACACAATTTGTTCATGGTGATTAAGATGATGAACTTGAGAAGAATCACTGCTGCTTAAACGAAAGGACACTGTGATCACACTGTTGTGGGAACAACTGCAAAGAGCGTCATTGAAGTGGACTGCATCAGAGTGGGCTCTCCAAGTGAAGGGATTTCATTGGACTTCTGTATTCATGGTTCTCCATCTTCAACAATCCACTAAACCTGTGTAGACTGGGTATGTACCTTGTGTGGGGCACTTGGGTGAGATTGTTGTATATCTACCTTTGTACATTGGATTATGATTTAGTGGATTGGACGCCTATGTGATCATCCCCCAGACGTAGATACACACTGTATCGAACTGGGTAAATATTCTGTGTCATTGAGCTTGTGCTGTTATCTTTCTCGTTCATTTTCTCCATGATTTATTATTACTGACTGACTTCGTAACTGAATCAATCAGTAACCTCTGACAGTTGATTATTCCTGTTAATCTGTCTAAAAAGAGAAAACGCAAAATTACAATTTATATATATATATATATATATATATATATATATATATATATATATATATATATATATATATATATATAGTCTCTTTGCATCCATGGCTGAATTGTGAAAGCGCCCAATCGGGCAAATTCGTTGGTTCGATTCCTGCTGGATGCGTCGTCAAGAAGGATTTTCGGGAATTCCTTCTCTGTTTCAATAGAATCTCTCCTTGAGTTTTAGCTCCTAGTTTGGAACTATGGTAAAGTAGTCCCTTAGCTGCCTGCCTTGATTCCTGAGTCACAGTAGCTACGCGTAAGTAAGCG